ATATATACATTATATATATTATAAATATATATTTATAATATACATATATATTAATGTTTATTTATTTTTGAGAGAGAGAGTGTGCACTCGTGCTCGTGCTAGTAGGGGAGGGGCAGAGAGAGAGGGAGACAGAGGATCCAAAGTGGGCTCTGCTGGGCTCTGCGATGACAGCAGACAGCCCCAATGCAGGGCTCAAACCCACAAGCTGCTAGATCATTACCCAAGCCGAAGTTGGACACCTAACTGATTGAGCCACCCAGGCGCCCCTGCCATCATATTTCTAATATCTAAAGTCATTTGTGGGGGTACCTGGCTGACTCATTCGGTGGAGCATGTGACTTATTCTCGGGGTTGTGGGTTCAAGCCCACATTTGGATATAGGGATTACTTAAGAATAAAGTCTTTTTTATTTTTTATTTTTAAAAAAAAATTTTTAATGTTTATTTTCGAGAGAGAGAGAGAGAGGGTGGGGGAAGGACAGAGAAAGATGGAGACACAGAATCCAAAGCAGGCTCCAGGCTCTGAGTGTCAGCACAGAGCCTGATGTGGGGCTAGAACTCAGGAAATGTGGGATCATGACCTGAGCTGAAGTCAGTCACTTAACTGACTGAGCCACCCAGGTGCCTCAAGAATAAAGTATTTTTGTAAAAAACCACTTATGTTTTTTGAATTCTCTTTTCAAAAATAACACCGTATTCTTGTTTAATGTGTGCAATGTTCTCTATCATCTCACTGAGACAGCAATGGTAGTAAACTTTTTTTTTTTTTTTTTTAAAGTAGATGCCATGTCCAGCATGGAGCTCAAGGCAGAGCTTGAATTGATGTCCCTGAGATCAAGACCTAAGCTGAGATCAAGAGTAGGAGGCTTAACTGACTGAGCCACCCAGGCGCCCCAATAGTAAACTTTTTAAAGTTTTCTTTTCCCTCCCGAGTTTCTCTTCCTTCAAATTGTTCCCCACCCGTTTCTGTATGTTTTCTGTATATTTATTTCACATTAGAAGTTTTCCTTATCTATCATGATAATCCTTGCTTGAGGCTGACACTTGTTGATTTAGAGCTTGGTTGTACAGAGATCTGAGGGCACTGTCTGTTAGGAAACTTGTTTGGTGATCTTTAGGTCTTGGCTCTCCAGCTGGCCAGATTTCCAGAATGTATCTCTCTTATTCTCTGTCCTGGCTGCTAAATCGCTGAATGGGAAGAATGAGTTTCTTGGCATTCAGCTTTCATTGTAGACTTCATTATTCATCTCTCCTCCCTTCCTTCATGTTTTTTGTGTGATACCCACACCCAAGTATGGTGATCCACCTCTAATCCTGGGACCTTGTTTCCCGCCGTCTAGAGAACAAACCTCACAGCCTTTGTGTAGGGGGGCAGTTGGTCGCCCGTCTCGAGCTGCTCTTCAAACAACTTGACCTCAGTCTGCCTTTTTATTTATTGATTTTAGTTTAATTATTATTATCATTATTATTTTAGATCTTATTTTTAAGTAATCTACACCCAACGTGGGGCTCAAACTCACAATCCCAAGATCAAGAGTTGCATGCTCTACCGACAGAGCCAGCCAGGAGTCCCTCGGTCTGCCTTTTTAAAGGTTTCCCATCACTCTCAATTCCAGAGTTTCTTGGTGCTGCCATTTTCTGAGCCTTTTGACTATTCTGCAGGGTAATTTGGGGGTGGTTCTGGAAAGCAGACAATGAATGGTAACTGCCTTAGGAAAAAGGAGATTTCTAAGTCAGGTGTTAAATGCTAGAACACCTTGATCAAGTATAGACCAATATTAAACTGTTTCATGTTACTGTTTTTATTTAACTTACTCATTGACAGAGGACCTGTGGACACTGCACAATGTATTTTGACAAATACACAACTCTTTTTCTGTGCTTATTTTGTTCCTGCCTCTTTTCTCCTTTTTTCCTTCTGGAGGAAAAAGATTGGGGTGGGCTTTAAGCAGGCAGATTGCTCCAGAATTTTCTGGATGTCATTGCCTGTTGTTTCTTTACATTTTCTTGCTGTAAGGTACAGATGGCACTATGGTTAAGACCCCAGACTTTGGAGTCAGAGTGCCTGAGTATCCCAGCCGACAATCTGTTTAACCTTGGACATGTGCCCTTCCTTGCTCGTCTAAAATGGGGATGATAGCAAATTCCTTATAGGACTGAGACGAATAAATGAGATCATGTGTCTAAAGAGCCTGACACAATAAGTATTCAATAAATATTAGTTCACACTTATTATTTGGAAAACGATTTTAGTTTTTATATACCTGTTAAAAAATATTGAACAGTGAATGGCACAATAAATATTTTCAGCTCTTTGCACAAAGAGAAAGAAACCACCGACAGACAATCTTCTTCCTCAGCACCTCTCTTCATTTCTACATGTTGTTTTCAAGTAATCGGAATATAGGGTGCTGGGGTGGGGATTTGTTAAGGTCTATGACAGTTATCCTGCGCCCGGTCAGATTCACCCTTGCCAGACAGTGGACCAGATGAGGTTCTTGGTGGGAGGGGTTGGCTTGGGGTGTCTGTCAGGTTTTGAGCTGGTTTTGGACTGATCGAAAAAGGGTTAGACCTGGGCCTAAGCCTAGGTGTATTTTAGACCCTTTGGGGAAGGGGCTGGAGGTCTGTGGCCTGGTCCTGGTGGAAGAGGTAAACATAGGCCTGAATAGGATGGCCAGGGTACCGAGCAGAGGGGCTGGAGCCGTCTTCAGGATGGCTTTTGGTGATCTAAGAGGGAGCCTTTGTTCCCTGTTAGGGGGAAACAGGGAGAGGGGTGACCTTCAGAGACATGGGGATGTGAAGGGACAGGAGGGACATGAGGGCAAATACAATCGACATGGGTTGACTGATTAAGAGGGAGCGCCCCCGCTCCCTTGGAGCTCATGGGGGTCATGCTGGTGCAACTCAGCCATATTGGGGAGAAACCCAACCTCTTCCATCCCAGTGACTGCCAAAGACTGAGTGGTTGAGCCCTGTAAACATGAGGACTTGGTCTGCCCAGAGAGCCAGAGGCCTTCCTTTTGGTTCAGCCACTGTGCATGTCTGCGGGGTTCTCCTGGATGCTGGCCCAGTGACTTACCTCCTCCTCTGTTCCCTCTGGGCAACAGAGTTACCATGGTTACAGGTACAGGTTGTGCTAGAGACCTTCTGGAGGGGGATTAAGCCAGAATCCCACAGGATTACCCTATAGTCACTCTGCAGTCTGAGGAGGTAGAAAGAACTCTGGTTTCGGAGTCAGACACATGTGGGCTGTGGTCCTGGCCCATCGCCCTCTAGCTGTGTGCCTTTGGGGACACAGCCCTCTAGCTGTGTGCCCTTGGGAATAGGATGGGCAGACGTCAGGCTAAGCGCTTCCTTCTTATTAACTCATTGAAGCTTCATAATAGCCTGATGAGGTGGGAAACTGTTGTCCCCATTTTACAGATGAGGAATCCAGGCACAAGGAAGGGTAAATAACTTGCCCCCTGGTCACATAAGTTCCTGGCACATGGAGGATTCTCAGTAGTATGCAATTCCCCTCCTCTAGCTGTCTCACAGTTCTAGAATGTCAGGGTAGGACTGGACCCTAGGTGTATGTCACTGTCACTTAACCTGCCATCTTACAGGGGAAAAGACAGAGGCCCTGAGAAGAAGGTAAATTTCCCACAGTTGACCTAACCTGTTGCAGTCAAGTTGGAACCAGAATCAGGTCCCTCGACTCCAAGCCTAGGTGCTTCCCCCTTCCCCCCCAAGGCCTCCCTCATTCAGTCAGAGAGCTCCCTGAAAAGAAATGCGTGTGTGAGGAGGCAGGCCTAGAGAGAGGGGCTGGCTGTGTGTGTGTGTGTGTGTGTGTGTGTGTGTGTGTGG